CTTGAGAAAAACAATATAGACTTGGTTTATCTGAACTACTTTTGTTTCAAACACATAGTGGCTGCACTATGGATTGGCTGTCTTCCTTTAATGCAGATGACATTTTTGGGCACTTTTTATCTTCAATCAGTAACGTTCAAGGAAACATCTATCCTGCTGATTATTTTCTTTGTGATTTATTTAGGAGAGGGTTGAAAAGGAATGAAAGTGTTTCTCTGATTCCTTACAGGTGTGCAATGGTTTAGAACAGCCAAGGAAACAACAACGTTCTGACCTAAATGGACCAATTGACAACAATAATGCACCAGAGGTAAGCACCTTAGGCCCGTGTTCTCCCTCCTGCCCCAAAATTTCTCCCCTCCATGGGCAGCAAATATTTCATTAAATGGGGAGGATGACCTAATCTCTCTCTCTCTCTCTCTCAAGTAATAGCAGCTTCCATGACTGCATGTTTCTTACGGCTCACAAAGCTTCCATGAACCAGTAGTGGCAGCAGTCACTTTTTATAACAGCCCATTTTATAAACACAGTCCTAAAATGTTCAGGTGATATAAGGAGACTTCAGAAATTCTTGTTTTGGGGGCCATTAGAAAGTAAGGGCAGCATCAGAATGTGGCTGGTTTCCTCTCCATCTCTTTCTTGTGTGAAATTGCTGCATTTGGTGTCAAAGGATTACTAAAATTCCTGTAGGAATAATATCTCTGTGAATAAACCCTACCAACTGATCCACACATCACATTGTTCACAGCTGAAGGCCCAACTGATTCACAACCTTACAAGTAGCCTCTGTGGTGAGCTGTGAACCTGCTCAGTCAACTGCGAAAAAGATGCTGTGATAGACATCAGAGATGGGCTAGTGGCACTGAATAATAGAGCAAAGGAGGAGTCTAAGAATGCAGCGAGGATGTGCTTGGGGCCAGACATGATGACTTAAAATCTGAGGGGTCTGTTATCTCAAAAGTGCACAAGGGAGTTATGGTAGTAGTAGCCTGTAATGTAAATGAAGACTTGCCCATACAAAAAGCCCTCTTCCATCATTGGGGAAATTAACCCCTATATTGGAGACCTTAATGCTCAAACTGGTATAACATTGCCAACAAAGGAGTCTATGAACTGAACTTCGATTGAGTAGTATTAAAGTAGCATCTAGGACCCCCAACTAAGATAAGAGATTATGCTAGGCACTGTACCAATACAGAGAGGGTTCCAATATAGACCATGACTCTAGTTTTGTTTAGTATACCTCTACCCTGATATAACGCAACCTGATATAACACGAATTTGGATATAACGCGGTAAAGCAGTGCTCCAGGGGGGCAGGGCTGCGCACTCCGGTGGATCAAAGCAAGTTTGATATAACGCGGTAAGATTTTTTGGCTCCCAAGGACAGCGTTATATCGAGGTAGAGGTGTATTTTATTTTTTTAATTACAGACCCATGAAATTAATTAATGGTATTTAAAAACATTGTACTGTCTAAATAGCAGCCATGTAAAACCATAAAGAGAAAATTAAATATTTTTTTAAGAATTCAGTCTAAAAATGGATCTTTCATTATATTAAATATAATAGAAGTTATTCTTTATGGTCTGAACTTGATTTTGCTGTTTTGATAGTTATACAGTGCATTATTTTTACTTCCCAACAGACAAAGAAAGTGTCTTCGTTTCCAAGTTTTGTTGATGGTAAGTAAATTTGACTGTATTCTAAGGTTACAGTAATATAAAACAAAATACTAAAAAACCCACAAAAAATCCAAGATTTTGCAACTGTAAAGTTTGAGTAAGAAATAAGTATAATATATTTATGCACAACATATACCTTACGTATAAGCCGGTAAAGTTCTCACCATGTTCTCAACAGAGCATATATGCAGTGAATAATGTTCAAACCTATCCCTTCTTTAGGTTCGGCTTAACCGAGCTATCCGTAAAAAACACAATGTAAACTTCAGCCTAAACTTTGTTCCCAAACTTGGCTGGTCCTTCAATTTTCTCTGCAGAACAAGTCAGTCTCAGACTGTAATTCACTCTTCTTCTCACAAAGAGTCTATCTGTTCTCATATCTTGGTTGGAGCTTATTGAATCCATGTGAGGTTTGAATCAGAAGTAATGACACTGCTTCCATGCATGTTCAGACAGCTGATACAGGAAGGCTCAACACAGGAGGCTGCTATCTTTAAATATGCTGGTCAATTTAGTTTCATTATTCACATTGTTCCCATTAAATGAGGGAAAATGTCTAGCCTGATTCAGTAAAATATTTGTACATATGCCTAACTTTAAGCACATAACTTCAGTCTGACTACTCAAAGTTAGGCCTAAAGTTAGGCACATCAGGCTTAAGCACTTTGCTGAATGAAGGCTTTAGGTATCACTTTAATAACCAGCTTAAACACTGGCAAACGACGTTAATAGACTTTAAAACCAAAAGGGACCATAATGATGATCTAGTCTGACCTCATGTATAACACAGAATGTCAAGTGATTCCTGCATCCAACCCTGATGTCTGGTTGAGCTAGAACATCTCCCTTAGAATGAATGTCATCTACACAATCACTTTCTTGCATATCAATCATATTTTGATCACAGTGGGTACAAGGTTCACTTAGTTGCATCCTTTCTGTTTATCCTGATCTTTTCCAGACTGACAACCTTGATGATTTCTTTATTAAAAGATTATCTTTTACTGGAAAGAAAAAAAAACAATCAATACTCCTCCTCTTGTGAGTTTTGAATTACAGAAGTAATAAATATATGATACTCACCTTTGCAGAAGACAAAAGGGAACTACAGTTTTCAACTGAAAAAATACCCACTTGTCAGAACAAACATGCATATTAAGACCTGGTCCTAAAGGGTTGGATGCCCAGTTTAAATGCTGAAAGATGAGCTCTTCAGGTTTTTATGTTGTTTAGATTAATTTCCCTGCAGATAGCTGAAATATCATCTCAAGCATGACTTCAGAGGATTTTACTTGTTAATTCTATTATGCTGACACATACAGTTCTCTTCCCCCGTAGATCATAGATCTTAAAGAATTCAATTTTTAAGACCAGTCCTTCCCCAAGAACAATGTATTTTCATTTAGAAATATACACTTCTTGGGCAGACTTTTCCCAACTTCCTGATCTCACTGGCTTGAGCAGCAGCTTCTGTTTTCAGTAGCCTCCTTGAGAGACTGTGCAAATGGCAAGTTCAAAGGCTACCCGTGACGGTTTGCGGGATTATCCAGGGCTGTGAGGCACCTCTCTAGCACCAGCTGTTCCCTTGAGGAAGCCTTGTCTGTGCTTGCCAGAGGTCAGCTTCCTGACACCCACAGCAATAGGCAGCACAAGTGCTCCCCTCTCAGCCCATGCAAGCTCTACTGTTCCTCTGCAAGTAGTGATAGGCACACCCTAACTCCCGAGCGTCCCTCTGTAATGTCCAGCCCCTGATCCTCTGGACACTCACAGAAGTATTAGACTCACGTTTGCAAAGGAACAGTATGCTGCAGTTTACCGGTTACACCTTGGACCGCTGTGCCACTTAACATGCAGCACTTAGAAATACATGTGGAGGTGCATTCTCTAACAAAGAACAGAGATTCAAATGATAGCAAGCAGAAATACTGAAAACAAAGTGTTACCTGTAAAATAAAATCCTAGTAGAGCCGAAGCTTCCATTGTGAAGTACACAATACTAAATGTGCCTCTAACCCAACAGACATGTCAGTTTCTCTTGCCAATATGAAAGGAACATGTTTGTCACCTTCTGGTGACCTGCTTCAACTTACAGACCTTAAGAACATAATTTCCAGTAAAGGTACATAACTCCTTTAAATATGCAGCTTACATACATTTCATAATGGTTTAGATGACCAATGTGTTACTGGCTCTCAGGAGACCCCCTCACATGCCACCCGTTAGTGAATTATTGTGCATATAACTGATCTAGGGGTTCTCTGTGCATCCCTTGTGCCCTCTGCCAGTTGGCATCAAGAGGTTCCTGAGTTATGCTACTGCCCCTGCTGAAGGAACTTACATTTAACTCTTGGCATTTACTGGCTAACAAGCCCTAAATTGAGGTAAATTAAACACATTCCCTTCAGGCAGAAGAATCAAGAAGGAATGCTGGCATTGGAAATAAACACTAACAGAATTGTGCAGTGGACAAGGGGAAAGGAGGAGAGGGCAGAGAGACTGTAGAAATTAGATGCTAGAAAGCTAAAATAAAACTTTACAGTGCTTCCATATGTAGTTAAAAACAATTTTTTTTGGTATAGTGAACATTTTGTTTTTTCTTTCAGTTTTAAAAGTTCACTGCTCTAGTGTTGAAAATGGGATCCATACAGCTTTTAGGATAGCATGAAACACATTTTTTTAAGTTTTAGTAAAATTTGTTTCCTCTGATTTTTTTTTCTTTAGTAGCATAGCAAGAGAGGATGAACTGTCTATTGGGTTTTCACTGTCGTGTAGGTATGGTACCATCACAAAAGTACATGGTACAGAAGGAGT